ACAATAGTATAAGCAGGTGGTGGCAGGTCCAATTTATGGAGATACCAGGGGGGGGTCTAAGGATGTGAGGTCTATCCTATGTGCAGCAGGAGAGGAGCAAGGACACAGAGTAACCGATTTCCTTATTCCCTAAACCTGCGTCTGCTCAAGGCCTCCCCCTTCAGACAGAGCCCCAAGCATATTGGTGAATAGGAAAGTCATGTAAGCCGTTCTCATCCCAACGATAAAGATAGATGGACATGGACACTAGAGATGAGCCAAACTGACCATTTTCTCAGAAATATCCCAATTTTGGCAAAATCCACTGGAGTCAATGAAGATTTGCTGTGGTTGCAATACATTATACACTGTATGTATAATGTACTATTGCTGGGATTTGTTGTACTCCTCTATAGTTGGATAATATTCTGCACTGCGCTGTATAGAGGACTACAAATCCCAGCAATAATACATTATACAGCGCAATGCGGAATACCACCATGTATAGAGGAGTACAACAAATCCCAGCAATAGTACATTATACAGTGGTGCAATGCCGAATACCACTGGCTATAGAGCCATTTTTTAAAATGTATTTTATTGTTTATCCGATTAACCGATTAATCGAACTTAATAATCGGCTAACTAATCGATTTTGAAAATAATCGTTAGCTGCAGCTCTAATAGGGACCGTGTAAAAATAATCAGTACCCTGAAAAATGTACCTTGTCCGCAAATGAAAAACAGTAGAGCTCTTCCTAGTATGTGACTAGGCGTGGCACTCCTGTAACTACAGCCTCATAGCTGTATATCTGCTGTGTGAGATCTAAGGCACTGCTGCCTCTGGCTGCCAGTCTCAAGAGGTTTGGTGATGTCACTACTGTGCTGCTCGCTGTTGTCCTTGCTGGAGGGGAAGCTGCACCCGAGGACCTGCAGTGCAAGGATCTCCCTGCTTCTGCTTCATCCATTCTGTGGATCTGGGCTTCCTCCACCCCTATCCTTTTTAGAGTGCGTGCATCATGAAACAAACCACTGCGAACAAAAAAGTAAACAGTGAAATCACTGCACACAAAAAAGTACACAAGGGTCATTGGTCCTCTTCCGAAAAAGAGGGCCATGTTATCCCTGAACCCCCCCCGCCCTCCCCCAGGACGCAAGACTCCTGACAGGGGCAAGGCACTCTAGTCCACCTGGCTGTTAGGCGAGATGGACCCCAATCCTTAGGGACCAGCTGAAGCCAGTCCACAAAGTACTAAGTAGGGGCTCTCCAAAAGAGGAAAAAGACCCGGTAAGGTCACAGATCCTCCCCTGACATCAAAGCAGGCCCCCGTAAGACCTGCACCCTCCGTCTCTGTGGGGTAAAAAATGCTATCATTGAATAAATGCCATGCGCAGTATACGGGAGGTCTTGCGGCCAGTAGAAAAATTCCTCCACATTAGCCAGGAGGCCTGCCTAAGAGGTTGACGTGACCTAGTGCCAGGTGCCACACTGTGGGGTCCCATACCCATCGTGTTTCTCTGGCACCCCTGAGATGCCAACACTAGGGGACACATCACCGTGGGCTCCTTGAGCTTCCAGCCCCATTCAGACCAGAAGACATTTACACTGGAGGAGCTCCTTCCTACAACTGGAGACAAGCCTGGTGCACCAGGCCAGAACCAACCCAGGAGGTCACAGCTGTATATCTGCAGTCTGAGGAATAAGGGGCTGCTGCCTCTGAAAGCTAGTCTCAGGAGATTTGGTGATGGACTACTGAGGATGCACTGATACTATTGGTATTGGTGCCGATACCGAGCACCCGTACTTGCCCAAATGCTCCGATGCCTAGCCCGATACCCAAGCTTCCTGATTGGCCGGGAAGCCGTCTCCATGATCCCTCGTCATCTAGAGCAGGGGCGCCCACAATTGTTCATCTGGAGATCTACTTTTCAAATGGCGAGCTCAATGAGATCTACCAACAAAAAAACACCTGCGTTCAGGGGCTGGAGGGGGCGTGGCAGTGCATTGAAGTCAACCGGCCCTCTTTTCTCTCTCTCCTCGCGCTCTCTCCTCTCTCCTTCCCGTCTGCGGCGTCTGACACATTCAGACGCACGAGCACCGCGGTAGGACAGGACACAGGTAAGTGAGCCGATCGCGATCTACCTAATGGGCACCCCTGATCTAGAGGTTCTCCTTACTGGAGAGGAAGCTGTACCTGAAGAGCTGCAGGAAAGGAACTCCCTGCTTCTGCTTCATCCATTCTGTGGGTTGCTATGACATGATAAGGCAAAGGCCTCACTCTACAAGGACTGCTGCCTCCTCACAGAGACACGCAGAACATGGCATGGTAAGTAAGTAATAGGAAAAAGACCAGCTCCAGGATACTGGTGACCAGTCCTATGCCCTCTGCCTGTCCTCCAGAGTTCAGGTCCTTTATAAAACATTTTTACTCCCTGTGAAGAATATGTAAATGCTCATAGAGTGGGCACAGGGGCACTTTAAGTCTAACTCCAGCTATAACCTTTCAAGCAGTTACAGCAGAAATTTGTTGGTTCTTAAAGAAACATTTTTAAAGTCCATCTCTGGGGGGCAAAAGGGGCTGCCCCCATGCAGCAAAGGGTTAACCTTTATAAAGGTCTATTACTGAATTCTGAATGATCTCAGAAACGTCTCAAACTGACGGCCATCCACACAAGGCCAACGTCCCCGGCACAGACCCTAAATCATCTAATCTGGCGGTGAAGGACACACGGCGCCATCTAGTGGCACAATACTGAATTACACCATGTAACTTCCTCTGATACACCTATTCAGGATGACCTGTACAGCAGGCAAGCAGAGGACCTGTACAGCAGGCAAGCAGAGGACCTGTAAAGCAGGCAAGCAGAGGACCTGTACAGCAGGCAAGCAGAGGACCTGTACAGCAGGCAAGCAGAGGACCTGTACAGCAGGCAAGCAGAGGACCTGTACAGCAGGCAAGCAAAGGACCTGGAAAGCAGGCAAGCAGAGGACCTGAAAAGCAGGCAAGCAAAGGACCTGGAAAGCAGGCAACGTTATCTGTTGTACGAGAGAAACGCAACTGTTTATCAAATTTATATCTTCAGAAACAAAATACCTTCAAATTAATTTTCATGCACACAAGCAAAACACAAAACTATTTCCAAATTTTCTGCAAAATATAAAAAAATAAAAAAGATGAGACAGAGTGGAGTAAATAGACACCAAATATGCCAAGACTCAAAACTCTGCGAGCCCACAACATGGAGAGAACATATAATGGCTAATGCACGACGGCAAGGTGCACATGTGTATGCAGAGACGCTTCATTCCGATCTTGGCAGGAAGAAAATTGCTGGATTGTCTTCAGCTGTTACCACGTGACTTGAATCTCTGATTTCCCGTTGCTGACCTGGCCTGCTCTTGGTCTTGTCTCTGCATCCCTATTATTGATCTGGGCTAGTTCCTGACTACGGCCCATCACTGCTAACCTTCTGGTGTGACCTCGGCTAAGTCCTGGCTATGTCTGCTGACCTTCCAGAGCAATCTTGGCTGGTTCCTGACTACGGCTCATCTCTTCTTATAATCTGGTGTGACCTTCTGGTGTCACCTCAGCTAAGTCCTGGCTACGGCCCATCTCTGCTGACCTTCTGGTGTGACCGTGGCTAGTTCCTGACTACGGCCCATCTCTGCTCACCTTCTGGTGTGACCTCGGCTAGTTCCTGACTACGGCCCATCACTGCTAACCTTCTGGTGTGACCTCGGCTAGTTCCTTACTACGGCCCATCACTGCTAACCTTCTGGTGTGACCTCGGCTAGTTCCTGACTACGGCCCATCTCTTCTGACCTTCTGGTGTGACCTCGGCTAGTTCCTGACTACGGCCCATCTATTCTGACCTTCTGGTGTGACCTCGGCTACGTCCTGACTACGGCCCATCTCTGCTGACCTTCTGGTGTGACCTCGGCTATTTCCTGAATACGGCCCATCTCTGCTGACCTTCTGGTGTGACCTTGACTCCTTCTTCTACGGCATAGCACATGCGGCCCAGTCACGCTTTTGCTAGATGAAAACTGGCCGCCATTTTCCGACGTCTTAGTGAGCTATTAAACGTAGTCACAGATTCCGGAATCCATACAGAGCATTGTAGACATTCATTAGAAATCTCTCCTGTTGTAAGAACAAATGGCGCAAAAATGGCGTGACTGTTGGTAAGCTGAATATAAATCTGTCGCAGGATTACCTCACACAATCTCTTCCAACATGGAGGACGTATTATCGACCTCCACTTTTCTTATTGCCGATATTTCTGAATGTGTCGTACATATAAATTACCTGAATTTCTCACACGTGTCGGAAATAGCGAGGAAACAGCCCCGCGGTTTTCACGAATCTGGCGCAGGACTTTCTAACGCCTGAAAAGCATCACAAAATATTTATTGAATGGCCCCCAATGTCTTATATAATTAGATCCATTCAATAATAATATTTAATTACAATAATAATAATGAGCAGAGCTGGGGGAGGGGCGAGTCAGCAAAATTTGGCGGGAAAAGCTATTCATCCAATCCCTCAGAGGAAGCAGGACGGTTGCTATAGGCAACTATAAGTGTGGGAGTCTGTGGGAAATCGCTTTCCGATTTATGAGGCAATAAAAGCGTTATTCTGTAACCTGCGCGGCACATTTATAAAAGACAAGAGACATAACGCAGCATAGATGAAATTAAAAAGCAGTTTCCCTGACCGGGAATCGAACCCGGGCCGCGGCGGTGAGAGCGCCGAATCCTAACCACTAGACCACCAGGGAACTTGCATGTACGTCCCTGCGTGCAACTATTCACCAATCAGCATACGCATGCGTAGTCAGACGCACTTATAATCACGTCCCCTTATAGCTTACCTCCGCCTCTTGCGATGTCTGATTGGCCGCTTCTTCTCCCGCGATGGCTGATTGGCCGCTTCTTCTCCCGCTCGTTTCCTCCGTCATCGCAGCAGTGACATCGGCGGCGGGTACCTCCCACACGCGGCTCCTTCATCCCCCCCGTGTCACAGCGCGACTTTCGGCGAGCCGATAATGACGTCATCGGAGGGAGCAGCTTGGCCTGACGCAGGAGTGAAGATGGCGGATCAGGAGAAGCTGCCGAACGGGTGGGAGAAGCGGATGAGCCGCAGCTCCGGTAAACAAGGACGGGTGGGGGGAAATAGGCCTGCTCCTGTGTGCTGAACGTGTGAGCGTTCTGTCGCCGTAAATCCCCAGGAATGAAGTGCAGATGAACTCTGAGGGGGGTGGGGCGCATGCTGGCTGTAGCGATCGTTATTATCTGCTGCAAGCCGGCTGACGGTAACGGTCGTTACGGTTGTTATCCAGAATAACGATCTGGTAAAGTTGTAACGCAGAAGTCAGGCCTGGGTACAATGGCCGCAGTTGAAGAGAACCTGTCACGTCTCTTGTATAAAGAAACATTCCGACCTGCTGCCCCCTACAGTACGAGAAGGTGAATGCCCCCCCCCCCCTGAGGTGGGCGAGTGCTGCTGCCATCTGACGCTTCCGTGTGTGAGATACTGCCCCCTCCCGCAATGTGGTTCCTTCCATTGTCACCTAGATCACTACAGGTCAAAGCAACAGGTGGGAGATACCATGATGCCAAGGTGGGGGCCATCTGGTAAAGACCGCACAGCGATTCACTTTACTGCGTGGCGGAGAGGATAGATATATCTCTATCTATTATAACCAGCCCCCACTCATCTCTGTAGCTGCAGGTGGTCATGCCTGTGGAAGGCTCCGCCCCGGTCATGCCTGTGGAAGGCTCCGCCCCGGTCATGCCTGTGGAAGGCTCCGCCCCGGTCATGCCTGTGGAAGGCTCCGCCCCGGTCATGCCTGTGGAAGGCTCCGCCCCGGTCATGCCTGTGGAAGGCTCCGCCCCGGTCATGGTATATCTGTAAGAAATCAAGGCAACTGGACTTGCTGTATTTTTCTAGAAGACGTTCCGCTGGTCATCCGACCGGCTTTCTCCATTCAGAATGACTTGTAGGAATATTCTCTGGGAATCAATATGGTGAATGTCGCTCCGATCCGCATCATATGTTACTTGTAGCCAGCATGGGGTCAGGTCTGGGTTCAGCAACGTGATGTCCTTGGTCTTGGCCCCTGTGCCGGTGGGGATGTTCTCTGCCCGGTGGTGTAGAGTCCTGGTGACTCCCAGTGTGTGATCTGGAGGATGGTGGGAGTCAAATAGCAGGTACAGAGACCTCATGGGGGTCAGGTGTTGATTGCATTTGTATGATTGGCGCTAGCAGGTGTTATTAAGCCCCCCCCCCCCCAAAAGACGGGTTAAAACAACATTT